TTATTCTTATTTGTTAATGAACTGAAGAATATAATACTCGTTGTCATTTCTCCTTATTCTTATTTGTTAATGAACTGAAGAAATCAATATAATACTCGTTGTCATCATCTGCATAATTTTTTTTCTCTTTCTGGGTATCTATAAATTGGCACAATGTAACGAGGCGGAGACAACGTTTAGCTTGTAAAGCTGTTGGATTTATATTTCCTTTTCGACGCAACGTGGAAAATAAATTTTCAATGGCATCTTGATTTAGACGAGAAGTTAGAAAGAAAAGATATCCATTTTTAAATAAATATTCAGTCAATGTAATAGTGTTTAAAGCTGACATTTTTATTCCAGTTTGAACCGGTTTCCACGAGTTACCAATAATTATATTTTCGATTAAATGTAAAAAATCGTCAATAATACCAATTTTTAAGTTTCTATTACTTGGAGTAATCGCTTCATTTTGCTTTCTGCTGTTCATCGCATCAAACCAAGCCCCTTTTCTAAGAAACCAAGCTGTAATCTTTCTGCTGTTCATCGCATCAAACCAAGCTGTAGTTTTAGCTTCATTATCTATTAATTTCAGTTCTATCAATGTCTCCAGAGCAGCAGCTGTTTTTACGTTGAATATATGTGCTGCAGTTGCTACATTCATTTTGTTGAATCCTGTTGGGTTCACAATGTCGGTAATTATATTTGGAGCTAATTTTAAATTTTTACGTTGCTGAATTACATTTAATTCTTCGAGATATTTAAATCTAACTTCATTGCATGGCAAATTTTCTGATTCTACAATTGACAGTGCTATTGTAATAATAGAATTGTTAGTTAAAGCCATCCGTAGGTTTTTCAATAAATGTGGTATATCCGGAAATATATAAAAATTATCATTAGACCGTATCGGATGCATTACAAACGGAGTGTTGTTATTTCTCGAAACTTTAATTCCTAAATTGCGCCATATCGCTTGATTTTTTGGACCCATATCACAAATTAATCCGTGGACCTTGTAACCTATTTTCTCTGCTTCTTCGACAATTTCAAACAGTAATTGAGTCATGATATCATCATTTGAAGACTTAGATGTAAGATGCCATGAAACAATTTGTTTCCAATTTTCGTTTAAACCTCTGAGCATAAAAACAACAATAGAAGTGCTTAACTTTTCTATCTCATCACACGTCGTTTGTCCAACAAATGATCCTATGGCCAAAAATGAAAAATATTGAAATGTTTATTGATATGTGCAACGTTAATTGATAAAAAATAAACATTTAATAAAGAAATTATTAGGAAATTACAAATACGGAAATTTGGTAAATCAGGAAGGTAATTTATGTAAATATATTAATATGTATTCATATGTAACAATGGTAATCTTTTTATAATTATATATAAACAATTTGTATATATTTAATATATATAAACCATTTTTCCACACACTTAAATTATAATTAAAAACGATTATTGAGATATATGTACTTATTGAGATACATGTAACAACCTTACTTTATGCTCGGACGTAGCTCGTCGGAAATTTGCGGTCCAGGGCTTAAAGAGGTTCGAACGGCAAGGGGAAGATGCAACGGTTGCGGACTTTAAATAATGAAACGGTAGCGGATACACTTAAAATAATATATTTAATGAGATGACAATCACGCGTAACAAGAATACAAATAATCTAATTGTAGCAGATCATTGTTGTCCAGTTTAAAGTTGTCATTGCATACTTGCTTTCTACAGTAGTTATGCTAAGACAATCAATTTTAATTAATTTTGTTGTGTGCTATAATAATAACTGAACCTCACTTGTGCTAACATCATATTCTAATGCTGGTTGAATATCCATCTCATCCATTAAAATAACACAGTCGTCTTGATTCGAAGATTTATTACTTTCTCTTTTCTTTGCCATTAATGAAAAAACATTTCTTAACAAACCAGGTTGAAAATCAATCTTTCTTGTATATCTGCATATTGTAGAATAAGATGGCAATGGTAAACCCAGATCTTTCTTTAGATATAGATAAGCCTTCCATCCAACTGTAAAGAGTAAGTATTGAGATTAGTATATTAATTTTTATATAAAAATGAACAATAGTTTAAAAATTATGGAACTTACCAGCATATCTTATCTGTGTGGCCAATCTTAAACATTGCGGAGTCCAGTTAGTCTCTCGCTTGGAAAGTCCTGATATAAATTCTTTGAAAATTGGTGATTTTTCTACTTTTTCAGACAATATTGTGT